TTTTATTAGGTGGAGTTAAGCCCAATATTCCTAACAATGCCTAAAAACAACGAATTAACTCTTTATTTGTAAAGATTTAAACGAAAACTTACCTAAACGAACTGGAATGGTAAAGAAATTGAAATAAATTAAATAACAAAAATAGCACTAAAACTTTAAAAGCAGTTTTCGAGTTCTAAACGAACTTGAATTGCTAAAATCCATCATACATCATAGCAAAGTAGTGAGTTGAATCCGTCTCATCGTTCTCTTTTCGAAAAGGAATTATGGGCTCAAATTTGAGCTCGAATGTCAAATCTGTAATCTATTATTTTTCTCTTTTCGATCTAACTGTTCCTCGATCCATTCGGTCATATGTTCTACATCGGTCCCTTCCACCCACGAAGAACTCGACCCCGAGCTATAATCTGGATAGAGAGGCTCATCATCTTCATAGAACTTGTATAAATCAGCCACATTGAACATATTAGAAATATTCATAGAAGTTGGCAAATCAATAATGTAGGCTATGTTGTTAATCCGTTTAAGTACTTTGAAAGACCCACACATTCTTGATTTTAACTTGTTGCAAGTACTCACGAGGAATCTCTCTTTTATTAGAAACACCATTACCGAGTCTCCTTCCTGAAATTATTTATCTCGTTGATGTGAATCTATCGCTATCTTATACTTTGCGTTAGTCTTCTCCAACTTCTGTTTTATTTTACCACGGACTGCTACCACCTCTTCAACCAGATGTTCAACACCAACATTCTTGCTATTACCCTTGGGCTACTTCATCAAATCCACCACATGATAGGCACCTATGTATACACAATAGTAAACGGAAATCTGCTTGTAACATTATGAACTACGCTGTTATATTCAAACTCAACCTGAGGCAGCCCACCGTTTGGGCTTACCTCCACAGTTTGAACCATACTTACAAGGATACGATTAGTAACTTCAGTCTATCCATTAATTTAAGATGGAAAAAAACTCTAAGAATCCCACCATCACCAAATGCTAATGGGTGTGGTAGATTAATATACCACGAGATCTAAGATNCTTCAGTCTATCCATTAATTTAAGATGACAATAAACTCTAAGAATCCCTCCATCACCAAATGCTAATGGGTGTTTTATATTAATATACCACGAGATCTAAGATCAAATTTGTATTCCCAAAAATTATTGCTCGAGGGTCTATACTTTTGACTATCATTCATGGCCCTTTTTCATTTTCAAATAAAGAATTGTGTTATGCTAAGAACTTATTATTCTCTTAAACGTGTATAGTTCACATGGATTACTGTCGTGTATAAGACAACAATTTAAAAGAAAAAAAGAAGTTCTCGTAGCTAGGGAGAGGAGGAGACAAACAAAAATTATGTAATTAGATCTTCTAAAAAAAAAGAAAAATATAGCTTGAAATTCCGACATTACTCGTTTTCAAAAATACCTTAACAAATACAACATGTGATCAACACGTGTAGATCTAATAATATGTTAGCTCGTAACAATTTAACTCAGTTGGAAACCACTACTCCAATTATTTTTTTACTCAAAAGAAGTTTTCGTTTTTTATTATCTTATTTTTCCAAGTTATTCGAGAGAGTTCCAATTCTGCGTTCTTATAATTGCTTAGAGGGGTTGATGAACCTTTACGTCAAAGGCTCATCGATGCCTTATTGGGTACATCAAGGAATATGGCTATCAAATGGTTGACTGTAAGATTTACTAAGGTTAAAAAGAGTATTCTTCCAATCAACAATAGTTTAATGACTAGTAAATGCAAAGTAAGACGATTTAGACGCACAGAGTAGTATTTAGACAACAATTGTAACTCAATATGATTATGTTTCGTTTCTACTTCACTTGACTTCATCTAGGCAATGTTCATCTTGTCGTCTGCACCTCCTTTTAGACAAATGGATTGTGTGTAACCCTGTAAAATGGGTATTAGTAAAATAGAATAGGTCTTCGACAATCCAACATCAGCAAACAAATGTATAAATTCATATTTTGTTGTGTCCCTAGTCGCAAGAAAGCATTAACTTCACCCTTCATATCATCAACTCTTTTTAGCTCTGGAATATTTGCTTAGATCTTTCACCTCATACAACCCCTAGAAAAGCAAGAGTAAAGATTCGTGCACTTAATATTCATGAATGCTTTTTAGCTGCTGCTACTTTTATCACCAAGATTTCATCACAACTCTTGCTCTCCTCATCCCTTTTCTAGTGCTTAGGCTTCAACCTCGAGCTCTTGATTGCAGAGAAGCTCTACGGATCGATCCATGGCCAAGTTCCTCACTTTTCTTAGGACTTTATTTTGTTAAAAAAGGCTTCAATTATTTTTTCTTCTCGTCACAATGTCTATTTTCTTCTTACTTGATTTCTTCATGCTTCAACTCAAAATAAATATACAAGTCTGTCGATTGAAATAAATAGGAATTGACAAATCACTGCTCTGCATATTGAAGGATAAAGAATAAGCAATGATGAAATTTATTCATTATTTATTACTTTTATTTATATAATAATAGAGATAATTCTTCTTGTACATTAGGGGTGTTATAATGATATCCATAATGGAGACATGGCACCCGTCCATTATGGACTCTAATAATAGTACCACTTATCTACCTCTGAAACAGCATAATTGTCTATTTTCAACTTGTTGGAATCTCCCCAGTGTGCCAACCCCACTACTTTACTTTAAATCAAAGCTGACGTGCAGTTTAATTCTTTAATAACACCTGCACAAAACGACCAAAACATGTTGAAACTCGAAACTATTTTTATAAATCCAATTTATGCTCTCTAACCTAATCCTCTGAACGTTTAATCTTCGATATTACGGGTAATTCTTATAAAAGTCGGGGAAAAAGTTTGGTAAGAAAACATCGACAAACAGCATTACTTTCTCGCTGTTACTGGTAGTTTCTGTAAATGATCTATAAAAGTACTACCAATTAAAATTTGACCCTCAAGTCCCAAAGAAACAATAAGCAAAAACAAGATTAGAAATGAGTAATAAAAATACAAAATTCACAAGTCGTTCACCTTTAATATGAGAGCTACATACTCTTTCTAATGTAAATTTTCACGATGATTAAATGGTGATCTCACACATCTCATTCTGAAAAATATTAGGTCATTCTGCAGTCGATTGGATAAGTCTCAGTATAATTAAGCTCTACATTGTCCAACGAAAAGTTAGTAAAAAAGCGAGGAGCAGACACCACCACTACCTTCGTTATAATGGGTAGTTCCTAGGAAATAACCAAGAAAACTAGGTTAAAAACCAACAGCAGACAGAACCACCAACAACTTCTGTCAATGCTCCATGAATTATATACTCAAAAAACAGCCATAAGAGAATGTTTGCATCTTACCTAGTATTCAGAGCTGCCATGTTTTTCTTGTTTCTTGGTTATATTCTCTTCGTTATGAACCTGCGTTCAGTCTTATCAGCATCATTGCCTCAAGATGCAATACATCTTCTTCAGTTTCGAAACAGCCTACTGGAACCTTCTCGGTTTATGCTGCCATGGAATGAATCCGTTTTACACTGCCAATGGCCTGGTATTTCTTGCTACTCAAATAAAGATTTTCGCGTCAAATCTGTGAATCTCACGCGCTATGGACTCTCAGGGATTTTGGAAATATCAGTTTCTGATATGTGTAAACTTCCTGATTTGCTGATTCTTGATCTTTCTGGGAACAATTTCACCGGAAAAATCCCGACCCTGGTCGGAAACTGCAGCAATCTCAATACAATTCTCCTCAATGAAAATGGATTTTCTGGATCAATTCCTGCTCAGCTTTTCACATCAAGGGAGATTGTACAGATTGATTTGGGATATAATCTGCTCACTGGGATCATTCCCCCTGAGGTAGGCCAATGCAACAGTCTTGAATATCTTGGGTTGAATAACAATTTCTTGAATGGGGAGATTCCTGTTGAATTATTTACTCTACCAAGTCTGAAATTTCTTTATTTAAGCACAAACAATCTAACAAAATCCTTGCCTGATTTTCCATCCTTCTGTTCACTTTCTGATTTTCGGATTCATGAAAATTCGTTTTCTGGTCCTTTACCAGTTTCCTTGAGCAACTGTCATAACCTCAGTCTTCTCTATGCGTCTTCTAACAATCTTGGGGGAGTTATTCCACCAAATACCTTCAAGGGCCTCCTGGAAATTGAATTTCTATATCTTGACAGAAACAAGTTTGAAGGGGAAATTCCCGAGTCCTTATAGGGTCTTAGGAATTTAAATGAGCTTATTCTTTCGGATAACATGTTCAACGGAACTATATCAGAAGACATTAGTCATTTCAATCTGTTAATGTACCTCGATCTGTCTGAAAACAACTTAACCGGACACATTCCAAGATCAATCAGTAGCCTCAGAAATTTGAATTTTCTTTTCCTGTACAATAACATGATTACTGGTTTCATACCCCCAGAGATTGGAAATTGTAGTTCTCTAGTCGAAATCAGGCTTCAACATAACTTCATTAGCGGAAATTTACCTTCTGAAATCTGTGAACTGCATGGTCTCAAGGTTTTTCACACGTTCAACAATCAAATAGAGGGTCACCTCCCTCAGTGTATAGAGAGAATGCAGAGTCTTGAGGAATTAGCCCTGTATAATAATAGATTGACAGGCAGTATCCCTTTCGGAATTAGTAATTTAACAAACCTTACTTTCCTTTCTTTAGCTCACAATGATCTCAGTGGAGCGATTCCATCAGACCTTGGGAAGAATAACCTTCCCGGTTTAGTTAAGCTGGATTTAACTGGAAACCGTCTAGATGGAAGAATTCCTTCTGGCATATGTGCTGGCGATAGACTCGTAGTTTTGGCACTTGGAAATAATAACTTCAATAGCAGTTTTCCGAAGGAAATCACGGAATGCAAGTCTCTAAATAGGCTGATTCTTCGTGATAATTTTCTGCAAGGGAGCATACCGGATGATATAGAAAAGAACTCCAGCATTTCTTACTTCGATATTCGTGGCAACTTGCTAGAGGGAAGAATTCCAATAAGGTTTGGCTTCTGGAGGAATCTCTCGATGATGGATCTGTCGGATAATAAGTTTTCTGGCTCAATGCCCAAGGAATTTGGAAACCTTCAAAATCTTCAAGTTTTAAGGATATCTTCCAACAGACTGACAGGAGAAATTCCCTGGGAACTGACTCATTGTCAAAAACTAACAGAATTAGACCTTAGCATGAATAATCTTTCTGGACGACTTCCTCCGGGGATCTTATCGTCTTTTACCATGAAAATCATCAGACTTCAAGAAAACAAATTTAACAGTGTTATTCCCGAATCTTTCTCTAGTAGCCAAACCCTCCAAGAGTTGCAGCTCGGAAAAAACATGCTAGAAGGTCCTATTCCGTGCGGTCTCACTAAAATTCAACATTTTAGTTCTGTTTTGAATCTCAGCATGAATAAACTCTCTGGAGAAATCCCCAAATGCCTCAGCAATCTCGATAAGTTAGAGATTCTTGATATCTCAAGCAATGGTTTCTCTGGTGAAATACCTTCAGAAGTAAACAACATGGTATCGCTTTCATTTGTCAACATATCTTTTAATCTCCTCTCAGGCAAAATCCCAGGTTCCTGGGAAAAAATCCTGGATTCACATCCAGGATCTTCACTTGGAAACCCCGAACTCTGCTTAATAAGTACCGAATCTACTAATTGTGGAAAAAGAGACAGAAAATCACATGCTAGAGCAAAAATCCTAGCCGGGATAATTGCTCCAGTCCTGTTACTGGCATTTCTTCTTGCTGCAGTGTACATTTTACTGATTCGCGTACAAAACTCATCTTTGGCCGATCAATCTCTCCTACATTCTCTATCAAGAACAGAAGATTTACCTGAAGACTTAAATTTCGAGGACATTCTACATGCAACAGAACGTTGGAGTGATAAATACGTTATTGGTAGAGGCAAGCACGGGACAGTTTACAGAACACAATCGGTGAGAACAAGAAAGAACTGGGCTGTGAAGAAAGTGGACTTATCCGAGACTAAAATTAGCATGGAAATGAGAACTTTAAGTCTGATCAGACACCGGAATGTGGTGAGAATGGAAGGATACAGCATCAGAAATGGATATGGCTATATTGTGACAGATTACATGCCAGGGGGAACTCTTCATGAATTAGTACATCGAGAAAAACCGCGAATGGCTTTGAATTGGGAAACTCGTTTTCGTATTGCTCTAGGCATTGCTCAAGGATTATCATATCTTCACCATGATTGTGTGCCCAAGATCATTCACAGAGACATTAAATCAAACAACATACTGATGGACTCTGAATTGGAACCAAAAATTGGAGATTTTGGGACAGCGAAAATGGATTCTGATATTGATGAAAGCTCAACAGTTTCTGAAATTGTTGGAACCCTAGGCTACATTGCACCAGGTGAGCATTTGCAAATATATATATTTGATTCATTTTCTCTTGATAAGATTTAGGGTTACAAGAGAAGTAGTCCAAACCTTTAGTTTATGTTTTCATCTTCCTTCGACGTGGAATTTTATCGTTTAACATCTCTGTAGTCGAATTTACTGTTCAAAACACTTTTAGTCACCGAACTTTTCTGTTTCAAATTACTAAGTGATCAATTTTTTTTTTTTCAGTTTACCCACTCTGTTTACAAAAGAACACGGAATTGCAGATACGTAGCACGAAAAATTCATTAGCGTTGTTTTATTTTATCATTCAAATTGCGTTTTTCAAATAAACGCGTTTTTGCTCAGCTAGACAATAAAATCAATACACTAACGTGTTTTCCCCAGTATTTCCTTCAATTCAGCAAACTGAGTTAGATGAAGTACCCAAACTGAAACATAATCAGAACAAAAAAAAGGTCCACTGGCCAAAGTAAAATAATGCTACAAGTCGGGCGACTAACACTTTTTTAAACTTCCCATTTATATATTACTTCAGATTCTAACATTTTCGGAGACTAATGTATTTATATGTTATACATCCAGAAAATGCATACACAACAAGATTAACAGAGAAATGTGATGTGTACAGCTATGGAGTTATATTACTAGAACTTCTCAGCAGAAAATTGCCTGTAGATCCTTCATTTGAGGAAGGCTTAGATATTGCATCCTGGGTAAGGAAGAATTCACAGAGTAACTACAGTGATTTTCTGTCCTGTTTTGACGAAGAAATTCAATCCTGGGATTCAGAAGAGCAAAGGAAAGCACTGGATTTGATGGATATTGCTATAAAATGTACTGAATTCATGGCTGATAGTAGGCCTTCCATGAGAGAAGTTGTGGGATCTCTTGTAAGGTTAAATTGTAGAAGAAAATCAACTGTAAATAATACTGGAAACTCGGGTTTGTAGTATCGTTGTGCAGGATTCTTTTTCCTTCAATAAATTACAGAAAGAGTCACTTTTCTCACTGTTTTCAATGTTTATTAGCATTATACCAAGCTGTGTTATCTAGTCATGTTTTAACCTTAAAGAAACGTGTTACCAACGTACAATAATTTGTTTCAGATGCCCAGAAAACGTAGATAGATTGAGAAAGAGACTGTTCAGTTCATCGCCAATGTCTGCAAATACAGAATCAAACCATGGGATCTTCCCAGGTTCTGAAAGTTACAAAAAGATAGGGGAATGACGCTCATTTCTAGAAGGACCTAGATGACCTTGCGGACAACAAATTTTGATAGAATAAAAAGTTATAAGAATTCTCTAGATTTCAAAACCGCCAAAATTTTAAAACAATCACGTTAGATGTACATCTTGTTTTACATCATTTTTTATATTGTGCTTCGTGTTGGCACATGATTGGACATTTTTTTATTAAAAAAAAAAACATGCTTTTCCGTTCATCACCTTTTGAATTCCTACACTATGAAATGTACACTGAGGGTATTCTCGAGCCCTATTGTTTTGACAAAGAACGCATTTTTGAATAGTGATTGATGGAGAACGTGTGGTTAAAAATAAGGTACAATTTTGAATTTGTGTGCAATATTATTTTATTGAAAAATGTCTGATTGAATAGAATGGGAGAAAAATGTATTTAAAAAAAAAATCAAACAAATAATTCATTTTCAAATTGTGAAATAGCTTCCACTGACAGCTGGAGTATATAAATAGGCATTGCCACTTCCAATAAGGAGTCATTAAAAGAAAGAAGAAAAATCTCCTACCATTAGTATAATAATAATAATGTATTTGTACACCTTGTTTTATACTCGCTCCGTCCCAATTATATAGGATTATTTCATTTTACATATGAATTAAAAAGGTTTCTTTTATGTCATTGGAAAATAAATTTTTCTCAAGATTTTTCTTAATTTATCCCTATTTAATTTTCA